AAAAAAAAAAAAACGGGCCTGGGCTTCAGCCCAGCCCAGGCCTAAGCTAAATCCGTCCATGGGCGTAGGTCTTTCCTGGTCAGAACCGATCTTCATTCCGATTCACGCCCTCTTATGCTTTTGATGAGGTTGGGTGAACTGATCCAACTACGGGTTGTCGACTGCTTTAAGAAGAGTCGTCACCACGTTGCGACATTAGTCTAAAATCTTGCATGTGACTCTGATGGTAAGCACAATACCAAGATGTTTGATGAGAATCGAGGTTTTGCGCCTACAAACGCACATGATGGGGCGCGACGTGCACGCACGGGGAAGGTCGCGCAATGGGCTAAGCAATTGCGCGAGATTGCACGACTAGCGAAACAGTCGTGTAAGGCCGCACGAGCATCAACGAGACGAGGGTGCAAGACAGCGCATGGCACAACAACTTGCTCAAGTTGCCTATAATTTTGAGCGGTGCGAACCTATTCTGGGCGGGAAGCCTTCTCACACTAGATCACTTGCGATCGGCATGAAGGAAGCTTTGTTTACTTGTGGCCGATGTGAGGAGATTGTCCTTCTATGTCGTAGTGATGTTATCCTGATGTGTTTATGAACTGGAATGAGATCGGCATAAAGATGGCTCCAATATTAATCGGATGCTCGCATGCCTATTCGCTTTTCATGCCCTTTCTGATTGGCATCGCATAACTTAAGTGCATCGTCGATGTAAATGTGTCATTCAAGTTATCACAGTTTAATGAGCTAACTCAGATCGACATATTTTATATATAATAGTAGTTTGTGTTTTCGACTGTCTAGGGTATCATTGAGTAGGCTTCCTTCCAGATTCAACTCATTAGCTAATTGATTCGGCTTTTTCTGGCTACTTCTAATATGTAAATATTTGTGTTAAACACAATAAAAAAAGTCTATTATATAAAACTATTATATATATATATATATAAATTGACGAACTTGTAAATGGGGTGATGTTGATTTCAAAATAATATATAGGAGATTACAACCCATTAAATCCACAAAACTATCAAACTATTTCAAAACCTCATTATATCTTATACAAAACTTGCACTTACACTGTCAACTGTCAACACTATACAACTTCATTTTTTCGCATAACTTGTCGCATATCATATCAACACCTCATTATATCTCATACAAAACTTGTACTTACACTGTCAACGCTATACAACTTCATTTTGACAATACAACTTCATTTTTTTGCGTAACTTGTCGCATATCATATCAACGTCCCCAACTCAATTCAATATAGTGCAACAAAACCAAGTGTATCATATCAAAAGCAATTCTCAAGAAAGAGAACACATTTCAATAGTTCAATTA